GGGGGGGGAAAAAGTAAACTTCAAACATGACTTTCTATTAGTCTCTATTTTTAGACTCTCTAAAAGTCTCTATTTTTATTGGTTTTGATAGCACAACAGTTCTCCTTCCCTAAAGGACATTTGGAAGTAAAAAGGTAACCATCAACACTTTTTGCATCTGAGAATTACTGCAAAAAATACTGCCTAATAGTCACTGATCAGTAAGAAACCTGTTTCTCACTCTGCTCCAAACTCCAGGCTTATGAGTGCTCCCTTTCGGCAGCTGAGGCAGGCACAGCTATCGATAACACTGCTGGTTGTTAACTGGATAAATGTATTCCTTTTTTTCTTTCCAGGGTACCCTTGAACTATGTACCAGAGAATGGGAATTTTAAAACATCCTTTTTTCTCTGTGGTATTTTCACACCTGTGTTGCTCTCGGGGCTGGAATGGAAGGTACCTGTTCAGTGCTAGAGATCTCACCGTCTGCATCACTGTCCTCTGCAACTACTTAGAGACCGTTCGAAGGTAAGAAGTAGTGATCAGGTAATCACACACCAAGGTCATTTCAACTCAATCAGATGTTTATACTGAATAAGGGGGACACAATTCTTTCTCTGAAGGTGTTATTTAAGTAGCTGGCATTATATGATGCTGTTGCTGAGTATGAAAGTAAACCAGATCAAAGGCAAGGGGAGAGGTGGGCTGTGGGGTTTTTTCTGGCAGTGGATGTTTGAACTTTGTAATATAGGTCAAACCAGTTCCACATCAGTAGCTAAGGGGGGAAAAAATGCCCTTCATTATGTTAACAAAAACAGTGGTTTACATGTGCATATATGCCAAATTCATTAGGCAGGTAATGAAGCATTTGCACAAATGTAATTACATACAGTAATTCTGACAGTTCATAACACTACATTAATAATCACTACAATTAGTTCTGATGATGGAAGCAATTTACAGCACGTCACATATATAAATAATGGTGCATTTCCTGCATGTGTCATTATTATGTATTAAGGATGCCACCTTGTTGTGACTTTCTCAGTAATGTTCCCCTTGAGTCAAAGTTAAGGGTAGATGAGTGATTTTATTTCTGAGCTACAGCATATTTCACACTTGTATAGTTTAAATACTCAGCTGAGGTCATTTTTGTAAGTCTGTATATGAAATGCCTAAATAAAAGCAATAATTATTTATTATTGAGTTATATAGAATGGTACTGAATAGGTCCTCCCATTTTAATAATTTAAAGAAATTTAAGAGATATTTATAAAGAAAAAAAAAAAAAAAGACAGGGAAATGTCACCTCTTGATGATATGGTTTTCTCCATATCTCCCAGCTTGTATTTACCCATAGAAATTAATTTTCTTTTTTTCTTTTTACCCCTACTGACCCTTATTTAGCTAATAGGACATGAAACTGTCTTTCCTTTCTGTGGTGCTTGGTGTCATAGTGAAATAATTGCTTAATTTTATAGTGATGATTTAATAATGCTTCCCATTTAGAAAACAAGTCTATAAAATCAGCTTATTCCAACCCTTAGTTTTCTTTACTAATAAATCTTGCTGCTTTAAGCTCTCGTTTTTTCAAACCACAATTCATAAACTGGATAATTCATTTTGGTAATTAATGAGAGGGAGGATTCTGATGGCAAGGAGGACTAGAAGGGTCTGTAAGAGTGAGAATTATTTCTTCTCTCCTCTTGGTAATATTGCTTATTGGCCCTTCTCATTGTATTGGTTAGTGATTCATTACCCAGTGGCTTTATAAGCATTTTTTTTAACATAGGTATTGGGGAGAGAAAAGAGACAACAGTTTTATAAAATGTGACTTTGTGTGTGTATATATATATGACTTTGTATGTTTGGATAGATAGATAGATAGATAGATAGATAGATAGATAGATAGATAGATAGATAGATAGGTAGAGATAGAGATATAAAATCTTGCAACTGACAGTTAGGGATTGACCAGAAAACATAAACTGGGAAACTTGACCTAGCCCATCAGCTAATGGAAATTGCCCTAACTCCATCATCTCTTGTACCAGTTTATGTGAATATTTCATCTTCTTGCATCTCATTTTGACAACCCATTTTCCTGTTGCTAAGACAAACTCCATCACACTAACCTCTGATAGTTAAGGTCTCCTCAGGTGAAGTGCAGGATGCCTGATCCTGCTTCATTGTCTAACTCTTCCCTTCCATGTTCTGATCCCCATATGCATGTTCAAGGGACTGTCATTCAGTGTTGTGAGGAGGATGTGGACACTATCCTCACAATATCCATCCACTGAGCAACAGCTTGGTGTTTTTCTCAATACAACAGAACAGTTTTCTGTAGAGTACAATGGCAATTATGCAAACCTGACAGCCCAAAATATTTCTACTGCAAGACTCTCAGTTTTCTCACATTAGCAAAAATGTCCCTTTTATATCACAAGCTTTGATTACCCCAGTGTAATCAATGCTCCAGGAGTGTGCAGCTGAACAAGCTTGTACTGAGTTAGAATATTGATATACTCTTCTAAAAGACAAACAAAAAGGCCATTTCTTGAGATAAATATATATGAAATTAGAAAAACATTAAATGTGTTTCCATTACCAACAAACAGAAAAGCAGGTTTATTTTAACTGAAAGAATGTTTCATTCTAAATCCAAGTTGTTGGCATTTTTCACAGGGATTCTCTGTTCAGGCCTCTCATCACCAGCATGCAGCATTGCATATTATGTTCTAGTGGCCTTTTTTCTCTTCTTTTCTCATTCTCTTCAAACCAGTTTAAAAGAAAGATGGATTAGAGTTTCACATATTCAAATTGAAATAAACCTGTAGCAAGCAGGCTGGAATAGCTGCAGCTATTTTACTTGTTCTGTTCTGTCACATCATGCAGTACTTATAGCCTATAATTAAGTTTTTACTTGAACTGTTGGGAGGCAAATACTGCCCCCAAGGTGGTAAACGTTCCTGTCTGGAAA